ACAAGGAATTTTAAATGGGCTTAGCTCGACGCCGGAATAAATGTCGCAGATATTTGTGGGTCTAGCTTGTGTCAAACAAAATACTATTTATAAGTTGTTGTTTTAACCCGCGTTCAAACTGTTTCCGTGATTGTAAGTTATGTGCTTAGAAGAGCTGAGTGCAAAGTAACCACAAATACTAAGAACCGCAATGAGCCAGAATATTAACGACGTGTTTTTGGTATTCCAGTAAGCTTTGCGATCACGTAAGGCTAACGGAGTCTTTTGGCAAATAAATTGTGTTTTAAGGAATCGGCTCCTTGCATTCATTAATTAGCTTTTCCTAATTATATTAAGCAAAAATTTGATCTGTTGTGTTATGGTATTTTCTAGAGTCTGACAAACTTGCCAACCAGTTGGTATTAAAACCGGATTATTTCTGCAGCCGTGTTCGTGAAAGTTCCTCAATGTTACACAAACCAGACTTATTTCAAGTTCTTCCCACTTATATCCGTTTTACCTCCTATAAGAAAAAGTTATTTTAATTCCATTTGTTTAGCCCGGAGTTTTTTAATCGTTCTGCTTAAGGAAGCGCGTAAATTGACTGTTGTTGGAAACTTTGTTCTATTTACGGCCTATCAAGATGTTGATTCAAGTGGAATTTCAATAATTAAGAGATGTTTTAATCCATAAATATTTGTAATTACTTTGCGCTTAAATAAAGATTCTATTCATTTTTCCAATGACTTAATACATAAGTTTAGTCAACGGGTTATATTCATTCCTAAATTATACAGTTCCTTATTGGTCTCCTATCCGCAATGATAATTGTCTCAGAATCGCCCTTGGCTGGGATAATTCAGCTGTAATACTTGAACTATTAATGACAGAAACAATCAAAGCTTCCTTCTCTGTAAACAAATGATCAACATTTTCCTTCATTGAGTTATGATAGACATCACTTAATTAGCAAAAATGTTATCTCTGAAAAGTTTTCTCCTGAACAAAACCAGCCTTTTTTCAAGTCACTCGTTAAATATAATGAAAATGGCGCCAAAAACGGACACGAAAAAATGTTAGCTATCAAATCCAACATCAGGTTTAATGTTCTTATCACCACATACATTAATTATTTGATATATATAAGAACACTGTTTACATTATAGTTTTTAAAGATTATACCAAATCCCCGATGGCTGGCCAAGTTGCTCTTCAAACGACTCGGAAATTGTATATCAATGTTTCCCGTGAAGGGATAGTTTCTTCAATTTGGAAAATTTATCTTGTTTTATAAACTTTAAACAATCTACGATGGCAAAATTTGCTATCTTTCTTCTATTTGTGTGCTCAAATGATCCTATCGACATTTCTGATCCTTGCAGTGTGCGGCATGAATCTAGTGACGGCCGAACACACCACTGAGTCTAAGTCGTAGCCGAGCACTAGAGCGCAAAAACCGGAAAGCCTTTAGGCTCGATTCCGCTCAAAGAGCTCAAATGTTTTCGTCGTTCCACTCTTGTTATAACACCTTCTACTATTTCTCAACCAAGTTCAGAAGAACTTTATCATCTTTATTATCCTTAAAGCAACGTATTTCTTCCTCGCCTTTCCTAAAAAGGCGCACATTTTCTTACGTAAGTGAGAAAGTTTACCACTATGGTGGAGAACGTCCGGCGAACCGCGATTTTTCCTTCATCCACAGACTTAGAGTTCAGAACGACATTATTGTGAAGAAATAATAAATAGGACCATATGGAAAAGCTGCTCAAACATTTTCATTTCGATGGCCGCACAATAAGATTTTAGCCTGACTGAAAAGCTAACATTAAATGAAAAATACCTTACAAGAACGATGCTAAGTCGCTTGGGGGTTTTATCCATAGACTGAACAATAAGAACCATCACATACAGCAGAATATTTAGGGAGAGCCTTTAACATAAATGCTGAGAAGCTTTCATTCGTAAAGTTACACTGGACTGAATAGTAAGAACCACCACATAGAGCACAATATACTATATTCTAGTAGGGAAAACCATTGCCGAGATGCTTTCATTCGTAAAGTTACACACTAGAGTTACATCTATAGACTGAAAAGTAAGAACCACCATATACAGCAGAATATATAGGTAGAACCATTTAACATTACTGCTGAGAAGCTTTCATTCGTAAAGACTAGAGTTCCATCTTAAGACTGAACAGTAAGAACCACCACCGTGACATACAGCAAAATGTATAAGAAGAACCCCTAACGTAACCGCTGAGAAGCTTTCATTCGTAAATTTACACACTAGAGTTTTATTTTAGATTCATTAACAGTAAGAACCACAATTTACAGCAGAACAAAGAGCGCCATCTAACATAACTGCCAGTGGCTTTCATAGTAAGGTCTTAAAACTGAGAAGCTAAAGTCATTTTACACAGAATGGTTAACAGTCTCTCATCAAAGTCTGACGAAGGACTATCGCCCAAAACTACAGCTTTAGATTCCTAGAAACTCTCTACTATGGCCAATTTACGTTTATTTAGCAACTCAGCTGATGAAACCAAATTATCTTCAAACCGACGCAGCACCACTGTGACAGTTTGTTTACAAACTTACCCCTTTTTTTCGTTTTCGTCACATAGCGGTAGTTTTCCCATTAAAAGTTAGAACTGATTTTCACAACGTAACAACCAGTGCTACATGAAAATAGTTTTCTGTAGCTTAGAGACCTTAAATGGTCTCACACTAGGCTTCTTTCGTAAAATTTATAACAAAAATGCAAAGAATTATTATATAAAAATAGCTATTAATCCGCACAAAACTTTCATGATATCAATTCTAGCTTTTTACCGCATACTTAACATACTTAAAAAATGATGACCGATTACATATTTTTGAACTGACTAGTGTTCCTTATAGCAGCAATATATGATTTTTACCAGGCAACCATTAAGAAATCTTAACGTATGTTTGACCAGCTGCTTAAGAGTTAACATGGGCCAGTACTTGATTCGTTTTAAATTTATCAAAGTTGAAATACCATGCATCGTCCATGATGAAAATAATGTGGGGGGAACAATACGAAGATCTGCCTTGTCCGTCAAAATGATCAAATGATCATTTTATAAGCTGTAATGTTAACAGCAGTGTTTGTTCCGGACTTCGTCAACTTTCTCATTAACTTTTCTCTGCTTTTATCAGAGCAGCATTGTCAAAAGTCATTAAAAATTATTAACAGATCTGACGCTCACATCGTGCAATAAACGCCTCCGCCAGTTACTACTTTTATTAAGTGAACATACTTAAAATACTTCAGACAATTGCTCTAAGTTATGCGAGGTATGTCTGTTCTGAATTCTCGAAAAAGGACGTCTTGGCAGTCGGTTCGCTTCCGTCCTGGATTAAATGAAAGTAAAAAAGACACTGGTGACATTTTTCTCTCTAAAAATCATTGTTATTCATTTATTTTCCAAACAAGATTAAAATTAATCAGGGATAAGATAAATTGTACCAAAGCTAGTTTACAATATCTTAAACATGCTAAAAATTGAGACATTTGTCCAAAACATTTATCAGTCGAGATAACACAATGAATCTCTTAATAATATTTCTTTTCATATACGCCGTCTGTTTACTGAATCGCGTTACGATTGAGTAATGGGCTGGATTGAATAAAAAATTTTAAGTCTCTGTGGTAAAGGGATTGATTTATAGTCGAGAAGGTTACCCCGATAAATGGTTATTTTTTAAACGTAAACTAGGTCGTGGGAAAGATCGTGATCAAATAAAATTAATTGTGTTTACCAAAATTAGATGCTATGTACCCTGATACAAGACCACTATAACATCTATATTCAGTGTATCATTAAGGCTTTCCAGTTTTTATCATTGTAGAACTTAAAAATCTTTCAGTTGGAGTTCGTATAAAGAGTGCAATTGCATGGCAGCTGAATTATAACTCGAAGAAGATAAGCTCCGTTTTGCAGCTCCTTCGCCTTTCATGGAATGTTTTACCCAACCTTGAAACGTTTTTTCCGAATAATTTCAGCTTGAATTCGATTTCCACACCGATCACACAAGCGTGAATGTCAAATACGTTATCATGGCAACAATATAGAAAATTACTCTAAATGCTTGACATGAGAGTTAAGAAGATCGTAATTAAATCAGTGTTATCAGTGACTCAACTTGGCAGTAGGCCAGTATAAGTAAATGTTCGAGTTGCAGATATCTGTTGTGCCAATCTGAGCGAAAACAACATGCATGCATGGATACAGTGAAATTCTGGCCACTTTATAGAGTGTTCCCGAACGCTCTTGAGAAACCTCATCGTCGACATATACGATTTCAACTACCTGAGGGCTTCTTGTTTTCCCTTTGAATTTCAAAGATCACCCAACCCCCTGCACCTCCCCCTCCCCCCTCT